GGGACGTTGATGAGAGAAGATTAGGGGACAGGATTTTTTTTAAGGGAAATCTACGGTAATGTCGTAAATTATTTCTATAGGAGATTTGAAGGTTTTGGTTGTCAGGTGGGAAATTTGGGAATGATGGGTCACAAAGTTCGGGATATGGGGATTTTTCATTTTTAAATTGGTAAATGGGATCAGTACTACTGCTTTTTAGGATGTTTTTCTTGGTCAATCGGGTATTAGGACAGGCAATAAATTTTATTGTTATTCAAAGTATTTAACATTTTTTGAAATGTTTCGAGTGGAGACTTTGTTCTTGAATGGCCATCCAACAGCACCCATTTAGCGGGTCAATTTAGTAATTGCTCTGATAGCTGCCTCGGTTAAGGCAGAAGGCGTGACTGTGGAGGGACGCAGGTTCAAATCCAGTTGTCGCCTGAACGATTACGTCGATGAGGAATTAATAATAACGATAGAATAGATAATTATTTATTTATTGAATGTATGGAACAGTTCAGTTTCATTATCCGAAATTTGACATACCGCGCTACTAGGAGAGATGGTAGGTTCAATTCGTGATGTCGTCCAAACTAGTTTGTCAGTAAACAGAAATTGAATAATTTTTTTTTGTTTGTTTTTTTTTGTGTTCATACTTCAAACATCCAGGTGAAGAGAAGAATCTGAAGACAAAAAAGAATAGTGACTACCAAAAATTCCCCAAGATACAATAAATTCTGAAAATTTTGAAAACCCGAGAATGCGAAATAAAAATAAAGCAGTAACCCACACCATACAGATTATTCCGAACCCACGTGTGTACTGTAAGAAGACAAAAAGTCAGAAGAATTTATTAGTGCCAGACCACTATAAAATGTACTTGAGAATGGGCAGTCGAAGAGAGAGAGATTGAGACAGAGAGGGGCGTATCTATTGTCTTGGGCGTTTATGGGCAACTCAGAGGCCTCTCCACATTCAATTGTGTTTTCCCCACCTTTGGGTCTAGTCGTAAGACGGACGTATGGCCAACATCTGTGACCACCGTCTACCTCTCGAAAATGTTTGGGGTATATTACATCTGTGGTGGGGGTGTGCCCAGCAAGTTTTGGCTGATGTCGAGAGTGCGCCTCGTGTGTCAACCAGATGCGAAAATTTTATAACTGGGGGAAAAATTGGGGGAGATTTCGCCTAGATAGTTCTTGGGGGTTTTAGCCAGTGGGAAAACCCGGATTAAAGAGACTGCGGACTGAAGTAGTTGATTGCAGCTAGTTGACGTCTGCAATTTTCTCACGTATTTAAAAAATGTGGAGCAGCTTCTTTAGTTTAATCTTCGGGAGAACTCTACAGACTTTGTCAGACTCATTTGTTCTTTAATGGAGAAAATTTAGAACTCAAGGTCACGTGGACGACGCGGGTTTAAATCCCGGCCGGTGGACAAAGGGATTTTTAACGAAAAGGAGAAATAATGATACTATAGAAAATCTGTAAAAATGAAAGTCTTGTTATGAGATAATGTTAAACAATATTAATTTCTTTCAATGATTATTCAGTCTTTCGATGGTCCTATTGACTAATTGATGAATAAATTAAAAGAGGTATATTTAAAAATCGACAAACAGCGATAACCGATCTTGATACGGAGTAGCCGAAAGTCGAATCTCTTTTTTAATCTTCGATCTCATTCTCGTAAACCCTAAACTAATTAAAAATCCGTCACTAGAAACTCATCTTTGAAAATAAATGGTAATTTCGCTGAAAGTCCAAAGGAAAGTTTCCAATCTCTCCCCTCATCCGTGATAACCGAAGAAACAATAAACCGAAGCTGCGAGCCAATTCAATTTCCATTCCATTCTCATTTTATTACAAAAATATGCAAAAAAAATGGCGCAATGGGAACAACAAAGGCACCCGCGGCAAGGACATTTCTCAGTAACAATTTCCCTTGATCCAAATCCGACGTGCATAATATAACACCGTGCCAAGCATGGTATTCAACTGGAATTATTAATGCAATCGACATAATTCCAGCCTCGTCGAAGATAAAAACATCACAGGCTCTCAATGGAATCGAAGGAAGGTCACAGATTTTTTTTTTATTCAATAACCCGCGGGAGATTTTCATTCGCTTTTTTACATTCTGACAGGCGGAATTCTCCGAAGCATTCGAATTCCCCGAGGATGGGAAATTATGTAATCATTACAGACGGTAATTTAATTGATTATTTTTCTCACTTCGATTTTGATCAATCGACGTGCATTATTCCCAGCCTCTGGACAAATTCGCGTTGGTGTGGCTTTTATAATTTTATTCAAGTTGACTTAAATAAATTAGTTAATTGAAAATGAATCGTTGCGGAAAGATTGAACGAAATTGATATGATTGAGAACAATGTGTGAACGGTGCACATTTATTGGAGAAAAATCGGTATGAGAAAAGTAAACTCTCGAATATCCCTGGAGCTTCAAAATTAATCATATATTTCCGTCAAGTTACCCTGCCCATCACCGATCGGGAGGAATTTTTTCGAGAATTTCTTCCTCTCGGTTCTAGGGGTTAAGGGCAACGAAAGACTTGAAGATATCGAGGATTATCTAATGATTTTGAAGGGAAGATTGAAAGCCTTGGGGTACAACTGAAAATATTATATAAATTTTTCTTCGACAACATTCAGAAATACCTGGATCCTCAAAGGGGTGCTATTCCTACTTCTCTTGAAATTCTTTGAGGAAACTTACGTAAATCAGCGGTAACTACACAAGGGAGGAATATTTTGGAGGAACGGAACGATCGAGATTAGAATAATTGAGAGATCTAGATATGACCGGTGGACTCGTTAGGGCTCCT